GCCCCGTAATGACTCAGTTGATTTCTGGTCTTCGCATATGCTATTGGAATGCATGCAATATTTGGTACAAATTGACTGAATTTACTAACTTTGTTGATAATTATAACCCAGATATAGTACTGATTCAGGAAACACACCTTAGGCACTCACAAACACCTTCTTTAATGGGGTACACTTTTTATAGAAACGATGGACCTCAAGATCCTCTCTGGGGGCACGGGTATTTTTATCAAAGCCTCTCTGCCACATCGCCATATAGATACTCCACAGTTAATCGGGATAAAAGCCACTATTATTTCTTTAAATTTTCCGAATCTTCCCTCTCTTTTTATTAGCTCTGTTTATGTTCCTAATGCAATTGCTTCCTCTAATCTTACTCATGATTTAGACGTTTTATTTTCTTTGAATAATAGTGTTATACTCGCGGGGACTTTAATGCACATCATACTGCTTGGGGCTGTACTAACCAAAATAATACTGGCGCTGCTTTGCAAAGATATGCGAATAACTATAATTTAGATATTATTGCTCCTAACACTCCTACTCGAATTGGCACTCGCTCTACCTCTATTATAGATTTAGTTGTCACTAATAACTTTCATTTTTCTAATACCATTAATTCGCTTGACGAACTTTCTTCGGATCATAACCCAGTAATTATTGATTTTAACCTCCGCGCTATGCATGTTCTGACTAACCCGCTTGTTACAACCTGCTGGTCTAAATTTTCTAGTATCCTTGACCGTAACTTTAATTACTCTTTTACGCCATTAAATTCTCCGCTTGATATTGAAGAAGCCATTAAAGACTTAACACATAAAATCATTACTGCGCATCAAGCTGCCTCTAAGCCTATTCCTACTAACAATAAAACCTACTTACCCCCTTCTATTAAAACTCTGATAACTAATAGGAACAACGCGCGTAAACTATGGCAAATTTATCGTGATCCTCGCAGCAAAAATGTTTATAATCATCACCAGAATATTCTTAAAAGGGCAATTGCAAAATACCGGAATGATTGTTGGGATCGGCGCCTTGAAACAGCAAATGTTGAGAATGGTTCGATCTGGAAACTCTGCAGCAACCTTCGTAAGAAAAGGTCTAAAATACATTCACTACAGGATAGCAATGAAGAAGTTACTACTGACATCCGAAAAGCTGAAATTCTAGCAACTTCGCTGCAGGATCAATTTCAAGAAAACCCATCCAACAATATTCAGGTGGATAATGATGTTGAAAGCACCATCGCGTCTTTTCTAACTCGGCATAATAGTACTAACAGTAACTTTCCTTCCACTAAAGCCTCTTCAGTGATTAACATTATTTCTAACCTTAAAATTAGCAAGACGCCTGGTATTGACTGCATTACTAACAAGATGCTTAAAAATATTCCCTTCAAATGCATTCTCCAAATCTGCAACATAACAGATGCTATTTTAACTCTTAATTACTTTCCAAAAACATGGAAAACTGCTAGAATACTTCCTATTTTAAAACCGGGCAAAGATCCTACTTCACCTCATAGCTATAGACCGATTTCTTTACTTTCTACTTTTAGTAAAATTATTGAACGGGTGATTGCTGATCTGCTTAATCATGAATCTAAGGCTCTGAACATTCTAATATCTCAACAATTTGGTTTTATGCAGGATCTTTCTACCACGCACCAACTGTACAACCTCTCTGAAACCATCAATGAAGGATTTTCATGGAAGCAGGACACTGCAGTAATTTTCCTCGATGTGGCGAAAGCCTTTGATCGGGTTTGGATAAAGGGGCTAATTTATAAGATGATTAACTATAATTACTCTCCATACATTATCAAAATTATCTACAACTATCTTTCTGATCGAAGTTTTATCGTTTCTGTTAACAATACTGATTCTAAAAACTGCAAGATTCTCGCGGGTGTTCCTCAGGGATCGATCTTGGGGCCCTTCCTGTACAATATTTTCACTAATGACATTCCACAAGACCACAGAATTAAATTGACACTCTACGCTGATGATACAGCAATTATTACACAGGGAAGGTATTTACACATCATCCAGAAAAACTTACAAAACTACATCAACACTCTTGAATCATGGCTAGAAAAATGGAAAATTAAACTCAATGTCGCGAAAACTGAAGCAGTGCTATTTACCAGGAAAAAGTCTATAATCCTCCTAACATAACTATTTTTAATACTAACATTTCCTGGTCTAAAGAAGCTAAGTATTTAGGTGTAATTTTTGATAGAAGACTAACATTTAAGGCTCATATTAACTACTTGCGCGATAAATTTAATAATGTTTTGCGTAAATTTTACTCTGTCATGGGCAGACATTCTAAACTAACAATTGAACTAAAAACACTAATCTATTTAGCTTATCTTCGTCCGATAATAGCATATGCGAGTCCAGTCTGGGGCTCTACAGCCAAAAGCAATTTTATTATTTTAGAACGGCTTGAAAACAAGGTTATCCGCATGATTGTTGATGCCCCATGGTATTTTAGAAACGCCGAAATTAAATATGCACTTTCCATGCCTAGCTTTAGGAATATGTGGCTAAAATTGCAAAAAACTTTTATTCATCACTCAATAGATCTAGTAACTCTGTCATCCAAGCATTAAATCAATTTGAATATGATATTTCTCTGCACTCGTCTCGTAAAAGACCTAGATGTGTTATAAACATCAATCAGTAGACTGCATTTCTTCTCTTGCATTTTTCTATGCTCCTGGTAACTTCAGGTTAAGTTCGCGCTCCGCGTATATTTTTGTTTGTTCTTTTAAATACTCCTGCGTGGGTGCTATGTTGTGCTTCGGCTTTAGGTTCTCTCCGGTCTTTTTCTCTTTTTTTAGTAGTTGTATTTTTTGTATTTTCTTGAATATGTTTTCTTTTATATTTTTACTTTTTCTATATATTGTGCAAATTGTTTTTCGTTATCAATGGGCAGTGACCGACTACCACTGTTTAATTATTTCTTGCTAATAGGAGGTTTGGTCGCTTCGCGACCAAGGAACTCCGATGAATCGTACCGATTCACACAATCAGAAGAATATAAAGATATACAAGTGTGTGTGTATGTATCAAAATTAATAAAATTATTATATATTTCGCGTTTAAAAGCAAGTTCCTTTAATATCAATGTTCATAAAATGATAAAATAAATGAATATCTAGAAAATATTGAACAGCTTAGAATGACTTTTAAGATCTGAATCGGTTCAAATCTAACTTAATTTTTAAATTCCTACAATTAGTTCACACTCTCCCTATATATATCTTGTTCAAATTTTCAATCGTTAATAAAATACTTTTTATTCATCCACTCAAGTTTAAATACATTTTTTTTAACTTGTAGTGGATGACACTTGATCTTAATACAGTTTTTTCAAATATTAATTCATTAATTAAACTAAATTAATTAATTTTAGATTTTTTTAAATTTAAGTTGCATGTATCTACCAATAGATGGCGCCAGATATAAAAGGAAAATTTCAACTTAAAAAGTAATTAAAATAAAACTTATAAAAAATTTTTTTTATATTTTTTTGTTAACATAAGTACAACATAATAATAAATACAATGACTTTAAATTACATTTACATAATTACAATATATATTACTTGTTTAATAATCTATTTGCAGCTGATATAATTCACTCCGGAGAGAGTATTTCCGGTATACCGGATGAAGTTTGACTCATCTGCTTGTTGCTATATAATAAATAAATTTAAAATATAATGTTCGGGTGGAATGATTACTGTTGTATTTTTTATGTCAAACAAAGAATTCCACTCAAGAGCAAAAAACGCTAGTCCAGTTAAGTTCGCAAAAAAAAAAAAAAAAAAAATTCGGTTGTAGTTAGGAGCGAGTTTAAAACACGTCACTTAATGGCAGCTAGAACCGAAATCCGGGGAAAAGGGGAAAATCAGGTAAATCCGAAAAAAGATCCGGGGTTCCAGAGGGTTCACTGCTCGGCCCTACATTGTTTCTAATCTCTGTGAACGATATTCCTAAGCCAGAGTTCTGTCAACTGGCCGTGTCCGCAGATGACACAGCTATAATTGCACAGCACGAAGCACCAAATTCAGTCGTTGCTCTGATTAACAATTATATTCCTCGCTTTGAAAGTTGGAAAATCAAAGTTAATCCTACCCAAAGTGCGTGCCTCCTGTTTACACGAAAAAATAGCGTTGGTTCCATTTTAAATGTCACTCTTTTCGGCCAACCAGTCCCCTGGGTTACTAAGTACAAGTACCTGGGGTTAGTTTTAGACTCGAAATTGAATTTTAATTCCCATTTTATTAAAGTATTTGCTAAAGCAACTGCTACTGGGGTTAAGCTTAAAAGCCTAATTTCTCGAAAGAGAAGGCTAGCGATCAGACATAAAGTTTTGCTCTACAAATCAATCCTTCGACAAATTCTCTTATACGGATGTCCCATTTGGGCGTCCTCCTCGACCGCAAACCTCAAGAAGCTGCAAGTCTTTCAAAACAAACAGATAGCTATTGTAAACTATTCGTCATTATAAATGACAACAGATGGCGTCACGAACAAGAGACTCTTCCATAACTCCTCCTCCTGTAACTAACCATATAAGGCTGTTGTCTTATACGGGGATTCAAATGTAAGAGCAAGGGCAGAAGAAGGAACGCGACGGAGTTGCAGATGGCGGGCGGTTGCTCGAATAAGTATTTTGGAATGTGAATAAATGTTGTTGTTTGTTGTTGCTGTTTCTTATCCCACTTGGTTGGCCAAGCCCATGAGCCCATACGTACTCATGATTGAAGGGGAAGGAAGCAGCTTCTGTTGTGATGGAGCACCCGTAGGTAGAAGCCTGACTTTTGCTCCCTGACACTCTTACAGTCATAGGAGACCGGGACCTACGGCTTAAAGTGGATTCCGAACCACTACAAACACCCATGGCATCGCCGGGATTCGAACCCGAAACCTGTGGCACCGAGCGCCAGAAACTCGGCCATTCAGGTCCCAAATGTGTGAATGCCGACGGCACGCGGTGTTCCCAGGTGGCCACCCACCCAAGTACTGACCGCGCCCAATGATGCTTGACTTCGGTGATCTGACGAGAACCGGTATATTCAACATGGTATGGCCGTTGGCTCATGTGAACATATATTTTATATATATCAACTGAAAGTTGCGTTTATTAATGAGAAAAGAAAAATAAGACAACACTATGATATCTAATGCTCCGTGGTTTGTTAGGAGGAAGCAACTCCACAGAGACCTTGGTCTTGATCCCGTCATGGATTATGTTTTCAAAATCCTTTCATTCCAAATGCCCTCAAATCCGCAACGAAGCGATCAGACAGATACCTGTTTACCATCCAGGTGTGGATAGCTCAAAAAAAAAAACACCCAGAGCTATCTATGACACTCACTGAGATCCTTTCCCGGCATTGAAGAAACTTTGTGGAATTTATTCCGCAACGGTTGATTCTACCGCTGTGGCCGGTTTCTAGCTACTTCGATCAATTCAAGCGAATCTGTACTGCAATCCTTGGCATTTAGGGGCCTGAATGACCGAGTGGCTAGCGCTCTGGCGCTCGGTATTACAGGTTTCGGGTTCGAGTCCCGGCGGTGCCATGGATGTTTGTAGTGGTTCGGAATCCACTTTAAACCGTAGGCCTCGGTCTAACATGAGCGTTGCGGGGGTATTGTTACTCCGCGTCCGTGACTTATCTTCAAGCGACATGTACCTCCTGGGTAGTGCTAAGTAAGTAACGTCTGAGCAGCGCTTGCCTTAAGGCAGCCAAGACAATTGTCTAAGTGTTTGCCAGCTGCGTTGGAATAAAAAAAAAAATCTTTGGCATTTAAATCTTAATTATTTGCTACGATGGGCACTTTAATTTAGAACATGGCTATTTGACTTTTAATTTATTAATTGTAATAGTTTTAATTATTCATTAGCTTGTTTTTAAGAATCTTTAAATATCTTGCTCATTATTTGTTTACTTTTTAACTTTTAACTCAATAGCCTGTCTTAACTGCTTTATTACCTTGTAAATTCTTATTTATCCTGCTTAATTCTTTTAATTCTTAATTTGTTAAACTTTTGTTTTAATTTTTAATTTAATTTTGATACCTTTTTAAAATTTTAAATATTACTGCAATTTACCTTACTCGAAACCTGTAATATCGAGCTCCAGAACGCAAGCCACTCGACCATTTAGGCCCCAAATAATAACATACAACTACACACCCAACAATTAAAAATAGCTTAAAGATCTTACCACTTTTCTCTGTATAAATATAATATTTTACTATTGTTACAGTCAAAGAATTATAATATCATGCTTAGGAAGCGTAAATGCTTTGGCTCTAGTGTTCTTTTAATGCAGGAATTAAACTTCAGAATTTTTTAACGAAAAGAACATGGCAACATCCAGCATGTTTAATGAGTTCCACGACATTTCAAAACAACGCCAGTCCACAATAAACGGATTTATTTGGTTTTTAATCTCAAGTCAGCAAAGTTTGCTGCATTATTTTGTTTAAGTTTTAAAGTAGGGGAATGAATAAACTTTCGTTACAATTAAAGAAACTATTTTCTTATAATAAGCCTTCTGATTTATTAAGAGTAATAAAAAGTTTTGTTCTCCATTTATGAATATTTCTATTAAGGTAAGCTGATTTATTATTCAGATTTTTTTTTCTTTATGGAATTTCTTTTTATTTTTACTCGATCTTGCAAATCATCGATCACAAATAAATCGGCATTTTCGTAGCTTTCCAGATGATCTTCAATAAAATCTATATCTGGTTCTTCCAAGAACCAAGATGATAAATAATTATAACACCACTTGGTATTTTTAATATTTTGATCATAAATATTCTTTTTAACCATTTCACGAACTAAACTCGTTTTAGCTGATTAATTCCAGTCACCAGGGACTGGTAATTACAAGCCGATTGACACACCCGGAAACTGAAGTGTGCCGCCCGTCTATCAGAAGTGGAGGCCAAAGGGATGTGTTGCCCAAATAACAGTCGCCACTTGAGTTGGACTCAATCCCCAGGATCCTCTTTTCGCGAGACACGGGTCGCCACGCACGGCAAACACGTGGGTCAGAAAACTGACATTCTTGGTGAAATCAGATAAATCGAAACAAAATAAATGAAAGGAAATAGATATTATTAGTCAAACAATACAACTGAAATACAAAAATAATTTCGTGAAACGTCGTAAATAAAACTAAGAAATGACAAAAAGCAAACAAAAACCTTTGACGAGGAAAATAAAAAAAAAAATATAAAGATTAAGCAAGTGCTAGGATACTTTAAATTGAACATTGCTTTCACAATTTTCCAAATTCCATATCGCTAAGCTGCATACCAATAATGTGAGGTTTAATAAGATTCGGTTTCTCTTTCCAAAAGTATCGAATGTCGTACACTCCTACATTTCCTTGATGTGAGCATCCCACCCTGTCTAACTTAACTGGGGGACACTCCCTAATCTATTTTTATTTCTTGTAAAAATTGGCTTCATGCCAATTTCATTCATTATATTTGCATTTTATTTGCTGCACCATTTTATCTTGATTTCGTCAGTGTATTTTACTTGCTTTAATCGACAATGTTCATCAGTTACAATTTTGATAGATTTTATATAAAAATTTTAATTCATTATTTTTTTACTTTATTTCGTACTGAATTTTACCTGATCTAGCAACTGACTTTTTAGATTGTAACCATTTCATTTTACCAGAATTTAAAAAGTATTGTACTTCGGTGCAGCCTGTCCAAATCTGGCCCTTTCGCCATAAAACACAAACCAACCAACCAATTTTATTTTTACTGTGCTTTGTATTGTTACGTACTAATTATAGTGTACAAACCTATTTGTAACTAATATCAAATTATTACTTTAACTAAATTTTAAATAGTTGCTTTTTTAAGATAATTTTTAAACAATCTTATAAAGCTATAGTTTTGGTTTTCCTATCTCTAATCTGTCTCCTGATCAATTTCATGCTCCAATCTAGTTTTTCGGAATTAATTTTTTCCTCGTAAATTTCATTTCGTTTTTCTTGCTCTGATCTGCACTGTACTTGCATAATTTCCACCTTCAGGGAAATAGTATATTTCACAATTTCCTAAATTCCATTTTAACATATTCCACAATTTTTCAAGCAATTACACGTTTTCTTACCTTTTCGAAAGAACGCTTACGATTTTCATTGCAAATAAATTCGATACATCCATCTTCGATGATAAACGGACTGCAAGAATGTTTTCAGAACAAATTCAAAACTGCAAACACTATAGACACTACAAATGCAGTCTGTGCGATACCTTTTATCAACATAGCTTTCATAATAATCGAAAGAACATTTTGTGAAAATTTTATTATCTTTAGTGCGGTTACACTGTAAGGTTTAAGGTCTGCAAGATTCGAATAATCGCGTCAGGGTTTGTATAATAGACGCTCTTTCTTTATTTAATGTCATTTGCCCTTGTAACATTTGTGATCGACATCGACTGCTTCCTACAGGGCTTTCATTAAACAATCAGTCAATAGCGATTGTAATTAATTTCTCAGATGAATAAATACAATCATGTCTCTATTAAACAATCGGACCTCAGCGCCGATCGAATCCTGTCTCTTCTATCAAGCGATCGGACCTCAGCGCCGATCGAATCCTGTCTCTCCTATCAAGCGATCGGACCTCAGTCGATCGTATCAAGCGATCGGACCTCAGCGTCGATCGATCAAGCGATCGGACCTCAGCGCCGATCGAATCCTCTTCTATCACCTCAGCGTCGCGATCAAGCGATCGGACCTCAGCGTCGATCGAATCCTGTCTCTTCTATCAAGCGTCTCTCCTATCAAGCGATCGGACCTCAGCGTCGATCGAATCCTGTCTCTCCTATCAAGCGATCGGACCTCAGCGTCGATCGAATCCTGTCTCTCCTATCAAGCGATCGGACCTCAGCGTCGATCGAATCCTGTCTCTCCTATCAAGCGATCGAATCGAATCAGCCGATCGAATCCTGTCTCCTTCGATATCAAGCGATCGGACCTCAGCGTCGATCGAATCCTGTCTCTTCTATCAAGCGATCGGACCTCAGCGTCGATCGAATCCTGTCTCTTCTATCAAGCGATCGGACCTCAACCTCGGTCGTAGTAGCCGAGTCCTCGAGTTGATTGTGAGGGGATATTTAAGTTATTAGTTTAATTTGTTTGCGCTCATTGAGCTTTATTATTAGTTTCAGGAAATCTATTCCGGTTCGTTTGTGGGTACCGTGGGCGTTGTGCGATGCGGACGTACCTGTTATGGAATTCCTATGCAGTTCGCCGCATGTTCCTGGGAACAGTTAGCACATTTTAGAGGCTCATCGGGATAAATATTTAATTCGGGGTATTACGACTGTTGACCATAAATTTAATATTTTCCTCACTTGCGTACTTTTGCCACTGATAGTAAATTGTAAACGAACACTAATGATAAACATAATTACAATAATTCAAGTGTCGGTAAATTGTAAAGACGTTTTTTCCCCCTTGAAAAGCTAATTTGTTTTGCATCTGAAATATGTGGCTAATGGCCGATAGGTGGATCTGCTGAGAGGGGCGTTGTTATTTGTTGAACTCGTAGAAATTAGACGATATGTTTGTGGGCAGGAACAAACCAAATGTAAAAGAAAGCACCTGTCTTATTTCTTAAATGTTGATATAGAAGTTAGTGAATTTTAATGCTTCAATGTTTTTTTTTTAATGAATGTTACCTGTGCAAAAACAATTAAAATTTTTGTGCATATGTAAATCAGTTTGATGTTATTTGAAAAATATATATTTTTTGAAATTCTGTACTGTTTTGTTAAAACATGAATAAGTTGTTTGTGTCATTTTTTAGTATATCTGTCATTTGAGTTGGTGAATGTTCAGATTAACTGGAATCATTGCGTTTCTGGTATAACCGCGTTATGAATAATTAATTTATTGCAATGGAATAATTAAAACAATGTTTTTCTTTTTGCAGATGCCGAAACATGCGTTCAATAGACCTTCAACTTACACCACGAATCATGAATCATCCAAATGTGACTCGAAGTTCATGCATGCCAACTGCGACAAAGCAGAAATTTGTTAC